CATGAAAGAAGAACCACCTGCCACCACATTCGCTGGAGTTGCAAGGAGGTGGAATAACTGTAGCAACTCCTGGAAAACCACAAGTTCCTCATTCTTACTGGAAGTCATACCTATGCCATAACATTGTGATGCGTGTGTTTTGGGAACCAAGGAACCCAGCAGTCCTGAGACCTCAGATACAAAAACCAGGTTTAGGAGAAGTGCAGGCAGAGCTGGAGGGTGGAATTAAGTGAGTCATCAGCCTAGAGTCTTTACGTTAAAGGTAAAGGTTCCCCTTGCATATATGTGCTAGTTGTTCCCGGCTCTAGAGGGCGGTGCTCATTTTCGTTTCAAAGCCGAAAAGTCAGCGCTGTCCAAAGTAGTCTCCGTGGTCATGCGGCTGGCATGACTCAATGCCAAAGGCGAATGGAACCCTGTTTCCTTCCCACCAAAGGTGGTTCCTATTTTTCTACTTGCATTTTTAAATGCTTTTGAACTGCTAGGTTGGCAGAAGCTGGGACAAGTAATGGGAGCTCATTCCATTATATGGCACTAGGGATTCGAACCGCCGAACTGCTCACCTTTCTGACCGACAAGCTCAGCAGCCACCGAGCCACTGCATCTTTACGTTATGTTCCCAAAACTGGTCTAAGTCCTCTTGAATAATGTTGACTCTTATCTAGTATCCATTTATTGTCGCCAATTTAGTGTCAAATATCAGATGACTAGATTCTTGCTGGAACAATAAATTTTAACTGTAACTTAATGAATGGTACTCATTCTTTGCGCCCGACTCCAGGTAAGGAGAAACAAAAGCAAAACAAACCCCAATACAGGTAGTCCTCAAATTTCAGCCATAATTGCACTCAGAATTACAGTTGTAAATTATGCCAGTCATCGCAAGACTTGGTTTTGTGAACTTTTTGTGAAGGTTGTTAAGCAAACCTATTGTCCCCAATGGGATATTTGCAGGAAACTGGATGTAAATGTCAGTTTCCAGCAAGCAGCATCATAAATCATAGAACACCTCGAGCAATTTCAACCAAATTTGGTACACAGATGACTTACTCTCTGGAAACAAATACTGTGGGAGTAAGACACCCCTAACATCCCCTGGGGGGTGGGGTTGTTCTGTTAAGATACAGCCAAGTTTCAATACAAAACTTTAGGAGTTGACATCTAGGACTGGCATGAGAAGGAAATCCAGTCAAAATGTGTAGATCTGGTTTGGAATATTGAATGGATTGTGGTAGATAAAAAGTTGAGACTAATCAACATGCAACTTCAACCAGCAATCAGCCACACACATCTAGAGAAAAACAAGGAGGATATGAAGTCCATTTTCCTACTCATTTCAATTCTTTGATCACAAGAACAGCAGAAACTGGGAAGAGTTCTCCTGATTCAATCTTGACTATGACAGAAAAAATTGGTGGGTAAAAAATTTAAGTGCTTACTGAGATAGCAAGGATCTAATCCAAGTTGTGACAGTCTTATAACCTCAAGTAAAGACTTACACACTGCCAACAAAAGTGTGTCTAGTCAAGGCTACGGTTTTCCCAGTTGCAATGGATAGCTGTGAAAGAGGGACCATAAGGAAGGCTGAGCGCCAAAGAATGGAGGCTTTTGAACTCTGGTGCTGGAGAAGATTCCTGCGAGTCCCTTGGACTGCAAGGCGATCAAACTGGTCAGTCCTAGAGGAGATCAACCCTGTCTGCTCTTTAGAAGNCTGGATAATTAGCCCAATCGGGCTTTTGAGTGCATGCACTATGCCAGCAGCAATGCCAGAGGAAATGGCCCTCTCAATCAGGTTCTGCAACCCCCTGGGAAGATCACCCACATCCAATGAATCCCAGCTGGGATTCACTGGATCCTGAGCTGCCCCAGCCTGGGGAGCCAGGGTAGGCCTGGGCAAGGCCTGATCTCCACTGGGATCCACCTGCATGCAGGAATCCTCCAAATCCAGGCCCTGGTCTTCCAGGGAAAGAGGTGGAAAAGGGGAAGCCTCCCCCAAAAACCTCCTAAGAGAATCTGGAGAACCGGGGGTGGGTGGGAACGGGACTGGTTGTGGTGCACCCCCCAAGGGAGACCTGGAACTAAGAGGAGATACACTTAGTCTGCCCTGCTGGGCCCTTAACCTTTTTGCCCTAGGAAAGGTCTTAGAAAGGGCCTTCTGCCTCCTAAGCTCATCCCTCTGTGTGGCACTTGAGGGATGAGAGGCAGCTTCCACCCTTTGAGCCCTAGCCGAAGCTGCGGGGCACTGCCTGGAAGAGGGGCCCTCCCCAGGGGAGGGGAGGGAAGGGGACTTTCGCGCCTCCTCAGCCATTTGCCACGTGGCAATACTCACGGCCCTCCAAGCAAAGCCTCCTCGATGCTCTCTCTCTGCTCCACTCTTCAGCAAGGCAAAGAAAGGGGAAAGCTTGGCGGACTACAGGGACTGCCGCCGAGGCTTCTCCCAGCTTGAGGCACCCATGTGCCGATTTGCCGCCCCGTGGCTTGCCTCGCAAAGCCTTTACACTCTTCCCAGCGCCACCGCAGCTCGATTTCAGCCGCTAGAGCGATCAATTTTCAGTGATGAGAGGCCGTGGGGCTCAAAATCCCGAGCCCGCAAGCCTCCCGATTGCCCAGGGACAAAATTTGCAGTCACATGGCTGGTACGGCTCCAAATGGCTGCTTCAATGGCCCCTGAGCCTTCCCAGCCCTCAGAAGGCAAAGAACTGTCCCTAGAGGCCAGGAAAAGAAAAGCCGCAGCCAGGCAGAAGAAGAGAGCAATTCCTAGGGAGGCTACAATTGCCAGGAGGCGCCAGTAATGGTAGAAATACAGGAGAGAAAAATAAGAGGTCTCACTTTTTGGCCGGACTGAGATAAAACTGGAAATCAAGGGTGGAGCACAGAGGCGTGGCTTCAGCTTCATCCCAGTCTCGTGGCCAATTGGGCGTGTTAATACCATCTACTGGAGCCTCCTGTCCCTCGCTCCGGAAAATTGCACGCGCACCCCCGAATACCACTCAATCCTTTCCGCCCACCTGCGCATGTGCACACGACACACACTTCATGCATGCACGCACAACCACTCCCCAGGCTCTGGAGTCTTTCCTGAAGCCTGGGGAGGGCGAAAATGGCCTCCCCTGGGCCACGGAAGCCAGAAACGGATTGTTCCCAAACTTCCAGTTGGACCATTGGGGCTGATTTTCGCCTTCCCCAGGCTTCAGGAAAGCCTCCAGAGCCTGGGGAGGGTGATAAACGGCCCCAACGGGCCAACCGGTAGTTCAGAAACTATCCGTTTCCAGAGGGCCTCCGGGAGGCCGTTTTCGCCCTCCCCAGGCTTCAGGAAATGTGCATGGAGGCCAGCTGTTCTTCCAGGTTCCACCGTGTGCATACGCGAAGACCAGGTGCATCCCGGAACCCAGAAGAGCAGCTGGCGACAGTGCGTGTGCCCACAGAGAGGGCTCTGCATGCCACCTCTGGCATGCGTGCCACAGGTCCACTATCATGGGATTAGAGGGAACTTATTTTACTTGCTTTGGGGGAAGTTTTCCGGGGACCATAACATCCCTGGCAATTTATTGGGGGGCTGATTTGGGACGTGTGTTTTGGATTGGGATTAGGATGATCATCTGTACGCACAATAAAGTCAACCACCCAGCTGCAATCAACCTTTCATTCAATGATGTGATGTGCATTGTGCTCATCAAAACTCATGTTGGTTTGTAATTCCAAATCATGATATCCATGGATCCAACCAGGAGAGATTCTGATCCCTAGAAGACGGATGACCTGGAAGCAGATCAACACTGAATATCCCAACTGGAGTCAACTTCTTGTTTCTCGCCCCATAGATGTACTAAATGTAGAGTTCGCCCTCTTCTCTCTGCGTTGATCCCAGAAGAAGGTCATTCACAAGATACCAGGAATTAAAAGTGCTGACTAATACAGAACACACTGTCTGAAAATCACGGTGTTTTTATCGTAACTGCCCAAAGGGGAAAAAAAACAACTCATTTATCAAGGAGAAGTTGGTTGATGAGAACAAAACTTGTACTTCTGAGAAATTCAGATTTCTATTATACATAGAAGTTAGAGTCACCCAAAAGACTGGGCCAAATGCATGGTTCAGATAGCACCGTCCTTGAGACCAGCCACTACATTTTGGCAACTACGTTTCATAGCTCCATGTACTGTGTCAACCACTTATTCTGGCATTTAAACTAGAATGTATGCCTTAGCTTGACTGGACTAATCTGTAAATCAGGGTTAAAAAGCCATGTTTTAATGCAACGTATGGAAAAAATCAGGTATGAAAACGCACATTGCAACTTAGGTAACTTTAGTTTTTCATGCACCCCCTGTTTCTGAGCTGTTGTTGTTAGAGCTCAATAAACAGATTGAGAGGCATAACTGGAAAATAGTTTTTCCCTTACACATCTCCCTCCATGCTTTATACATGACTGCATAAGGTGAATAATCTAAGATTTCTATTCATAAGTTATTGAACCCTTGAAATGATCCAGCATCCAATTCAAAAAATTTCCTTTGCTTGTTCATAAGAATATTGTGTGCATGTGTGTCTGTGTGTGTGTGAGAGGAAGAGAGAAGAAGAGAGGGGGGAAGAGTGAAATAGAGAGGGGAAGAGAGAAACAGAAAGAAAAAGGAAGAGAGACAAAGAGAGAAAGAGAGCAGGAAAGGAAAAGGAAGAGAGGGGTGAGAGAGAATGGAAGAGAGAGAAGAGAGGGGAAGAGAGAGAGAGAGAAAGAAAGGAAGGAAGGAAAAGAGGAAGAGAGAGGGGAAGGAGAGAACAGAGAGGGAGGGAGGGAGAGGGCAAGAGGGGGGAGAGAGAACGGAAGAGAGAGAAGAGAGGGGAAGAGAGAGAAAGGAAGGAAGGAAGGAAGGAAAAGAGAAAGAGAGATTTGAAGGAGAGAAGAAGAAAAAGAAGAAGAAGAGAGAGAGAAATTGCTTAGAATAACAGCTCTGGAGAACAACTTGAATACTTAAATTTTTCTCTACCCCAGCCTTGGGCCTACCTCGTAAGACCAGACACACTGCACTCCTGCAAATCTCCGTACGCATCTGCCGATCTCCACGTCCTCATGAGTGGTGTACATCTCTCGAAGGCATTCCCCAATGTGAGGGACCATTCTCCGAAGCACTTCTCGGCTCATGATTACTCCTGGACCCCCCATGCAGAAGTTCTCTCCGGGCTCCAGGGCCAGTTTCCCCATTTCTTCAGTCGTGCCTAGTCCGGTCTGCCCTAGGAAGAGGGGCTCGCTGCTATTCAAACTCCGCAGGAAGTTCTCCAGTTTGTCTCCTTTCACATAGACGTCATCATCCGCTCGCATGAACCATTCGTATTTGTCCAAATAGTGGTCATGCATGTACTTGAGCATCATGAACGATTTCTTCTGCGGTGGGTAAGAGTCATCAACGCCAGGTAGCGACACAATGGGGATCGGGAGAGACATATCTGAGCCCTCGCTGGAAAAAAACTCCACCTTCCCAGGGATTGTGCTGGACCACGTTCTACAGAGGAAGAAACCAAACCTAAGTTAAAAATAATGCTTTGTATTTTGAGCTCATCGTTCAGGCTACAATGCTTAAGATGGATGATGGATGGATGGATGGATGGATGGATGGATGGATGGATGGATCAATAATGGATGGATAATGGATGGATAGGTAGAAGATAGAAAGAAAGAAAGAAAGAAAGAAAGAAAGAAAGATAGATAGATAGATAGATAGATAGATAGATAGATAGATAGATAGATAGATA